AAAAAAAAAAAAAAAAAAAAAAAAAAAATTCAAAATTCATAAAAACAAAATCATCCTGACAATTTAGCTGAGCCATTAACACTAAGATGAATCCCAACTTCTGTATGTAAGCACTCGGAGTTTCATTTTCTCCTCAAGAAAATGTCTAAAATGTGTAAGATGGGCCTTTGTAATTAATACACTTTCATACTCATGATTTGACTATGACAATTCTTTTTAATGGGACTCATAACTTAAAACAGAAAAATAAAGGAAGAAGAAGGAAGTGGGCTTGGGGGTTTAGGGGCATACCATCCAGGACCAGGGCTGAAGGGATGTTTCAGCACTTCAGAGTATCTGCTACTCTTAAAGAGAACTGGGTTTGGTTCCCCAAACCCACAGGGCAGCTCACAACTCTACAAGTGTCCATAACTATAGTTCCAGAGAATCCAACACCTTCTTCTGGCTTCCTTGGACACCAGCATATACATAGTACACAGACATACATGCAGGCAAAAATTCACTCACGTAAAATAAAAATAAATAAATCTTTAAAAAAAAAAAAAAGAAGCCTAACAGGATAAAAATAATTTTGGGATATCACCAGACTTATACTATGCGTAAATTCATGGAATATATATACATTAACTGGTTTAAAATGTTGATGTATTTAAGTGATTCTATCAAGCGATGACTAATATATTAAGACATAATACAAAGTCTGTCATTTACAATCTCAATAAAATAAAAGTGGAGAAGCAACCTGGCACTGTTTATCTATTATGACTAATATGACAGAACCCTGTTGCTTAGGAGTAACAAAGGAAGGAGTAAGAATAGCAGTGGTGTCTAGAGAGGCACAAGGCTCATCTGTGAAGACAGAGATCCTACACTCTCATCTAGGTCATGGCTGCTCAAGAGTGTGCACACACAAGGTCACTGAGCTATATCCCTAAGACTTCATTGCTCTGTATGGAAATATAAATAATAAATTACTCAGGGTGCACAGAACAAACTACTTTATTTTCTCCACAATAATAATGATGCTGGAGAACCTGTATTCAATTTGCATTCCCAGGGCAATTCAAATGCCCACTAAGATACAAGACTGGCTCAAATTATTAGTGCTAGACACATTGTTTTTAACAACCAATAAAAGCTCAACCTCATGAAATACTGAATTGGACATGAAATATATACAAATTTCACTTTTTTTTTTTCTGAAGTTACCATATCCAACATATTCAGCAAGCAATTTAAGGGTATTTTATCTGCTCTTTATTTCAAAAGATTATACGACTACTCTCATGTGTGAATTTAACAAGGCTACAGGTCCTCAAGAGAAATGTAGTTATTAAATATAATAAAAAAGGGAACGTCCACAATCATTCCAGAGAAGTATTTGCTTTGCAAAGAATGATTAATTTAAGTCATTTGGGTGCACTCTGTTGTCAAGAACACGATTCCTACGTGCTGTGATTAGACTTCTGTAATTGTCACTATAATTTAATGACTTTGATTGCTTCAAACTCTTATAAATACACTCTGTTATTTACTTGGGGGAGAGGATGAGACAAGGTTTCTTAGTATAGCCTTATACTCACTCTATAGACCAAGCAAGCCTCAAAGTCAGAGTTTTGCCTGCCTCTGTTACCCAAGTGCTGGAATTAAAAGTGTGAGACACCATGCTGGGAAATATACCCTATATTTTGCTTTTAGTAATAATTATGCATGAAATCATGTATGAATTAAAAAAAGGACACATTTGTCTAGAATACAAATTTTAAAAGGGTAAGAAACCCTAAAGATTTTTAACTGGTAAAACTACCTATAAGAGTATTATTTCTACCATTATCAAGATGTTGTTAAAAGCAACCTGCTGGCATCAAAGAGAGTCTAGACTACCCTTTCCCGTAGGACGTGACCAACTCTCTAACCCCAAAATGTGTTATTAAAGACACTGCATTTACCACCTTCTCCCCCTCAAAATAAATAAACTGAAAACATCATACCCCCGAATGTTTACGAATAAGTCTTCTGCAGCTTTGTGAATGTGGAAAACTTCATCCCGGAAGAGAGATAGGCAAGAGCTACTTTGAAGAGCTAGCTTCCAAAGGTTCAGTGCTGTGGCCTCCGTATTCAGCATCCCATGGCACAGGATAAAGCCAACTTCAAACACAAAGAAAAACAAGTACAAGTTAGAAGTACTGCACAGACAAGTTCCTTTGGTTACAGTGTAACTTTCTACAGATGAGGAAACAACCTCCATCACTGAATCGAGGTTCCTAAGAGATTCATAATACATACATATCTATACATATATGTGTATGTATATGAATGTTTTTAATTATAATTTTCTATATTCTGCAGAGTAAGTTCTTTGAAGATGCACTAACAAGGAAAAATACCTTTTAAAAGGAGGTATGAAATTTTTTAAAAAATCAAACATTAAAAACATTTTAAGCAAAAGATCAGAAATCAATACATAATCATTACAGCTGTTAAAGTCACTGAAAAATAAAAGCAGTCAACATTTGTGGTCACCAGACGGAATGCTAGAGTAACAGCAGTGCTTGTCTCAGTGGTCTCTCCCTTCCTAATCTGTGCACACATATTACCTCATGTGATTATTCTGTGTAGTGGACAAGACAGTATCATTTTTTTACAGCTGAAGGAGTGAGAGTCCAGCAATAAAAAAGTAACAAAGGCAGGCAGGACATGATAGGACACGTCTTTAGCCTAGCACTCAGTGGCAGGCAAGCAGTGAGTTCGAGTCCAGCTTGGTCTGCACAATGAGCCCCAAACTAGCCAGGTCTAGGCCAGGAGACTTTGTTTCAAGAAAAAGAAAAAAAAAAGGAAGAATCCAAATATTAACTCTTTTTTTTTTTTTTT